CCCCAAGAAGCTCCCATTACCGATTGCTCCATAAAATGCTCCATGAGAAGATCTTAAACTTGCCGAGCTTGTTGAACACCGGTTATAGAGCAGTTAAACATGACTTCAGTTTGAGATTTTGAAATACATTGCAACTTGCAAGCCAAAGATGGCCTTACTCTTGGAGCAAGCTATATTTAACATCCACAGGGAAATGCTTTACAAAGACAAATACAGGGTCTTAGAAAAGTTTCTCAGAAATACAATCAGAAAGCTAGGTTTTATTACCATACTTGCTGTTGGATCCACTGACAGGTCTGTAGCTGAACCAAGAGTCTGCATACATCAGTTTTGTGTAGGATGGAAACCTTGTACTATTCTTTGTGATAGAGTACACTTGGAATCTGGGACAGCTGATGGTATCACACAGGGAATAACATCAGCTTTGGCAGTGGCACAAATTGAGTAAGAAGAGCTCAAACCAAAATTCAGATTGCATAGCAATGACTACGGGCTTTTCAAATGTTGTACAGGCCAAGTTCAGATAAGGTAATCACGGTGTGCATTGCACCAATCACGTCTCTATTGTGTATCTCAACAAATGTTATCCCTTTCTTTAAGAGGGAGTTTGTTTTGGAATATGAACAGGAGGACTTGTGGCACCTTAGAGACTAACAAATTTGAGCATAAGCTTTCGTGGGCCACAGTCCACTTCATCGGATGCATAGAATGGAACATATAGTAAGAAGATAGATATATACACATATAGAGAACGTGAATATGTTTTCCAATTTTGCTATTTAAAGTGGCAAATAATAAGTGTTTCAAGTTCTGGCTGATGACTTTGATGCTCCTATGAGCTACTTCAGAAACATCCACCATTTACACTCAGTTGGTCAAGCCCCAATAATGAAGACAGTGATAAGTCATCATTTGGTTCACACCTATTATAAACATATTGCAGAAACTAAGTCAAGCACTGATACAACCCAACTTACAGGAATTCTTAAGGACACCAACACAGGCAAATTTAAGAGCACACCTTTATTTGATCTCTTGTTGAGGTGTAGAACTATGATTAAGTGGCATCCAACAGGAACTCAAAAAATTATCTGCCGCACATTGCATTTGTTTATCTATTTTTGAAAACTACCCAAATGAAGAAACAAAGTAAGCCACACATTACACTTACCCAGCATGAAGCAACGGTTTCCTACCCAGAAAGAGGTCAACACATTTATTTTGCATGTTCCTGAGCAGCACAACAATGGAAGCTTTCACTCTTTAGTTTGCTCGAGAAAAGGATTTACATCATGAAGTCTAAGCCAGCAACTGAATGAAAAAGTGGGCCACGTTCACGCCTGGCGTACAATATCAAAGGCACTACAGATGTGTAGTGTAATACAGATTTTCCAAGAAAAGCCCAAATTCTTAACTGCATGGATTTCTTCTGAATTTCCAAAGACTCTAACCAGCCTGAAGTGACTCAATACCCCTGAGGAAACAGAGTGGAAGTCTCAGAATTAGCCTCTTTCTCACTAGGTGGACACTACAGTTGTAGCTGACAACTCCTAGAGCGGGGTGCCCAACCTGTGGCTTCGGAGCCACATGCGGTTCTTCAGAGGTTAATACGCGGCTCCTTACCGAGGCACTGATTCCGGGGCTGAAGCAATAGATGATTACTTGCCAATTTGCTGGGGGTTCTCACTGCTCAACCCCCTGCTCTGCCCCCACTCCACCCCCCCCCAAGGCCCTTGCCCCTTCCCCTAAGCCTTGCATGCCCTCGCTCCTCCCCTCTCTCCCCATAGCCTCCTGCGCAGGTGAAATAGCCGATTGTGGTGGGCGTGGGATGGAGTAGGCACTGATTGGAGGGGGCTGCCGGCAGGCAGAGGCACTGGGGAGCAGATGGGGGGCTGCTGACGTATTACTGTGGTTCTTTGGCAATGTACATTTCAAATTCTGGTTCCTTCTCAGGCTCAGGTTGGCCACCCCTGTCCAAGAGACGTGACAAGACTCCCATAGTGTAAGCAATGTCTCCCACTAACAAAGGAATGCCTGAGCCTCATCTATCTTCCAAAAGCAAAGAGACAAAAGAACAGGGCAACACACGGTACCATGTACAGGAAGGGGATTTAATAGAGGGAAGGAAAATATGTATCAACTTTTTTGAAAGTACCTAGAAAAAGTACAAAGGCTCTGTGCTACCTGGTTCCTTATCTTGTGTGCCAGTCCATACAGGACACAAACTAGAGTTGTATGTTCTGCAACCCCCATTAAAGACCAAGGATAATAAAAGAAGTGGAACTAATAGTTTTCAAGAAGCCGCAGCTAAACAAACTCTGTATGTGTCTTCAAAATGACTATAAAACTGTCCTGATGAGACTAACAATTGCAACCCTCCTTCCAACAATCTTCCAGTTCCACCTTTGAGGGAGAAAAGAGAATGCCCTGACCAAAACTGACTTAAGTCATTTTGTAAGGTCACCCTGAATTTACCTGCCAAGCTACTTATACAAACCCCACCACCTTAGTACCTAAACTTCAATCCAGAGCGATTCAGCAAGCAGTGATTGCAAAGCCACTTTTAACTATCCCAGAAATAATTTCAGCCTAGAAAAACACCACATTATTATTATTATTATTAATACAGTAAAAAAGGTCTAGAAGGTGCAGTCATGGACCAGAACCCCATTGTGCTAGGTACTATACAAAGAGGCAGTTCCTATTCCAAAGGGCATACAATCTAAGGTTCCACGTATGTTGACTATATACTATTTTCTGTTGTGTTTTGCACTGCCCTGTAATGTTCCTGCTACTGATTTTAGGCTGATTTTTGTAGCTGAGACCCGTTATCCATTTGGTACAGATCACCTACTGTACAGCAATAAGTACACTTACAGCGCTGTACAGTCACATCACAATGAAACTCACAATGTGACAATATCATATCTCAGCATCATGCAGTAAGTGGTTTTTCCCTGAAGGACAAAATCCACGAGGTGGTAACTCAGTCTACTTTACACACAGAGTTCAGGCACTGTAATGAAGATCAAGCTATCTGAGTCATTCATTGCCTTCTCCCCAGTGATTGTTGAGTAACTTCTCACCTCTCCACAGGACTCATGCCCATCTTTCCTCCTTCTTCAAGGGACTCTTTCCCCGCTCACCCAACCCAACCCCTTCTTTCACTTACTGTCCTCATGCTAGGTGTTTCCACACAGCTGATCTGGGGCTGGTATTCTATCATTTGTCATTGCAAATTTACCACCACAAAACACAAAGTTAGGAAACCAAGGTTACAGGCAATGAACACAGGACTGAGAGCCATGAAACTCCCAAGTCATAATCATGGGACTGACATGTGCATGGTCTGAGTAAATCACAGATCCCGTGTCTCAGTTTCCCCATAAGTACCATGCAGGTAACACCCTTCTGATAGATTGTTTGGGGGATTAATTAAGATTTGTAAGCCTCTCCCCCCACCCCAATAAATCAGAAACTGCTATAAAAAATACAAAATATTTGAACATGACAGAATTAATCCCCAGTTTATACTTAACTCTGACCACCGATTCCCATCTGTGCACTTCATATTGGGGCTTATTTATTATTTTAACACCACCCCAAACTAAATGAGCTAAGTGCCATTCAATACAGACAGCAGACACGATCCCATGGATCTTACAAGCTAAAACAGACACAAGACAAACAAGGTGGATGACAAGACAACAGCCAAGAGCAGGAATGGAATTGTACATCAGCACATGGTTATTCAGCAAAGGCGAATATACAGCACCATGGAGCAAAGATAACAATGAATTAATAAGTAGCAGAGATGGGCTCTGGTTCTGCAATTGGACCCACACAGGGGATCCCCTGCAACCCTTACAGAGCTTTTATGAAGTCAGTAGGAACCCTACACAGATGGAGGCGACTGCCCACAGATATCCAATTACGGATCGGGGCTCAATCAGCAGGTTACTGGTTAGCTAAATACCACAGGCAGGTCCATTGGGGTGCACGCCCTTCCTGCCACTCTTGAAAGGTTCCCCCAGACATCCCCCAGTCTTCTCCCAACTCCCATGCACACCTCCCTACTACCCTGCTCCTCTGTGGCCCCCCTCCAATTCCTCAGTGCCCCCCACTGTCCTTGTGCCCCACACAAATACTGAGTGCACCTGTCTCCCTCAGCTCCTCTCACCCTGGTTGGCCTCAGCTGCCCTTGCTCCCCCAGCCCCAGGAACACCTTCAACTCCCCCCCCCCCCCACTGGGTACACTCACACCACACAAGATCCCCCCCATTCCCCCAACACCAGCAGCTCCCAGACCTCCCCACGCAACCCACCCCTGGGTGACCCTTGGTGCTCCCCAATTCTGTTACACCCACAGCTCCCCTCTCGCCCCCACTCCTCCAGCCATCCCCCCGCTCCCATCCCCCTCCCCCCGCTCCTCCAGCCATCCCCCCGCTCCCATCCCCCTCCTCCAACCATCTCCCCCACTCCCATTCCCCTCCCCCACAGGGCCCCCCCAGCTCCTCCCCCTCCCCCACAGGGCCCCCCCCAGCCATCCCCCCTGCTCCCATCCCCCTCCTCCAGCCATCCCCCCTGCTCCCATCCCCCTCCTCCAGCCATCCCCCCTGCTCCCATCCCCCTCCCCCACAGGCTCCCCCCAGCTCCTGCAGCCATCCCCCCCCAATCCCTCTCCCCCACGGGCCCCCAGCACCTCCAGCCACTCCCCCACTCCCATTCCCCCCCCACAGGACCCCCCAGCACCTCCAGCCCTCCCCCCACTCCTCCAGCCATCTCCCCCACTCCCATTCCCCTCCCCCACAGGGCCCCCCCAGCACCTCCAGCCATCTCCCCCGCTCCCATCCCCCTCCCCCACAGGCCCCCCCCAGCTCCTGCAGCCATCCCCCCCACTCCCAATACCCCTCCCCCACAGGGACCCCCCGGCTCCTCCCCCTCCCCCACAGGACGACCCCCCCCCCCCGCGCTCCCACCCCGGGGTCCGGCCGGGTCACCTTATGCGCCGCTGTCCGGCTCCGCAGGGCCTTGAGCCGCTCCCTCCGCCGCAGCGCCGCCTCCTGCAGCCGCCCCACGCCGGAGCCGGAGCCGGAGCCGATGCCGGGGTCGGGGCCGGGGCCGGGACCTGAGTTGGCAACGGGGGCCGCCATTTTCCCCAACGCCCGGCAGACACCGCGCGGGGGAGGGGACAGGCCCGGCCAATCGAGCGGCCTCCGCGGGGCCAGGGGGAGCCCCGAGCGCATCGATCGGAGCCTGAGCGCTTCGGGCGGGAGCCAGGGTGGGGGCGGGGATCCGGGGCGGGGGGCAGGAGGAGGGAGCGGGGTGGGGGAGGGGAGCAGAGGGGATGGGGCAGGAGGAGGGGGCGGGGTGGGGGAGGGGAGCAGAGGGATGGGGCAGGAGGAGGGGGCGGGGTGGGGGAGGGGGAGAGGGGATGGGGCAGGAGGAGAGGGCGGGGTGGGGGAGGGGAGCAGAGGGGATGGGGCAGGAGGAGGGGGCGGGGGTGGGGGAGGGGAGCAGAGGGAATGGGGCAGGAGGAGGAGCGGGGTGGGGAAGGGGAGCAGAGGGGATGGGGCAGGAGGAGGGGGCGGGGTGGGGGAGGGAGCAGAGGGGATGGGGCAGGAGGAGGGGGCGGGGTGGGGGAGGGGAGCAGAGGGATGGGGCAGGAGGAGGGGGGGGGGGGGGAGGGGGAGAGGGGATGGGGAGGAGGAGAGGGGGGGGTGGGGGAGGGGAGAGAGGGGATGGGGAGGAAGAGGGGGGGGGTGGGGGAGGGGAGCAGAGGGAATGGGGCAGGAGGAGGAGGGGGTGGGGAAGGGGAGCAGAGGGGATGGGGCAGGAGGGGGGGCGGGGTGGGGGAGGGGAGCAGAGGGGATGGGGCAGGAGGAGGGGGCGGGGTGGGGGAGGGGAGCAGAGGGATGGGGCAGGAGGAGGGGGGGGGGTGGGGGAGGGGGCAGAGGGGATGGGGCAGGAGGAGGGGGCGGGGTGGGGGGAGGGGAGCAGAGGGGATGGGGCAGGAGGAGGGGGCGGGGTGGGGGAGGGGAGCAGAGGGAATGGGGCAGGAGGAGTGAGCGGGGTGGGGAAGGGGAGCAGAGGGGATGGGGCAGGAGGAGGGGGCGGGGTGGGGGAGGGGAGCAGAGGGGATGGGGCAGGAGGAGGGGGCGGGGTGGGGAAGGGGAGCAGAGGGATGGGACAGGAGGAGGGGGCGAGGTGGGGGAGGGGAGCAGAGGGGATGGGGCAGGAGGAGGGGGCGGGGTGGGGGAGGGGAGCAGAGGGGATGGGGCAGGAGGAGGGGGCGGGGGGGGAGGGGAGCAGAGGGATGGGGCAGGAGGAGGGGGCGGGGTGGGGGGGGGGCAGAGGGGATGGGGCAGGAGGAGGGGGCGGGGTGGGGGAGGGGAGCAGAGGGGATGGGGCAGGAAGAGGGAGCTGATGGGGGAGGGGAGCAGAAGGGATGGGGCAGGAGGATTGAGCAGGGTGGGGAAGGGGAGCAGGCTGGGAGAGGGGGTAACAGGACTGAGAAGGAGGAAGGGACTAGGGGAGAGTGGGGAAGTAGAAGGGACGGGGAGAGGAGAAGGCAGGGGAGAATCAGGGACAGGACAGCAGCAGCTGCCCTCAGGAGTAGGCCTCCCTTTCCCTGCTAGTCTCTAGGCTTGCCGGGGTTGGTAGGCTCCTGTCCCTGGCTCCCCGCATGCTACCTAGGATTCCTGTCACTGGGAAAGTCCACCTTGCCCCTAGATCTCTCTATCCACAGGACAGGTTTCAGAGTAACAGCCGTGTTAGTCTGTATTCGCAAAAAGAAAAGGAGTACTTGTGGCACCTTAGAGACTAACCAATTTATTTGAGCATAAGCTTTCGTGAGCTAAAGCTTATGCTCAAATAAATTGGTTAGTCTCTAAGGTGCCACAAGTACTCCTTTTCTTCATCCACAGGATGACAGTCTGGCCCTAGGAATCTCTCGCCCCATCTCTCCCAAAGCTCTGTGCGAACGGAGACACAAACGGGACCATGGGTTCATTTCACCCTCTCCTGGGGTAGGAGGCTGCAGCACATGGACAGCGCTAGACAGCAGGTTAGTGCAGAAAGAGGGAAGAGTCCCACGTCCAATTGAAACGACAGGTGGATTTAGGGGGCGTGAGTATAATTGGCTCAGATGGATTTTCTAATGTTTAAGAACAAGAAGAAAATAACCCTTACACGGTCCCTCTTTCAGGCTTGAAAAAAGCTAAAAGGGCAGAATCCCAGGTTTATTCTCCTTGTTTTCTTCCGGCTCATCCCACAGCCCTCTGACTGTGAACAATTTGTTTGTGTCACTCACACACCTCGTCCTGGGGCTTGACATCTACCCGAGGGGTACAGCTGTCTTCAGGGATCGTGACTAGAAGTGTGGTCATGAACGTAGCTGGGTCCTAACCCACAGAGGACAGCAGAGTCCCCATGACCCTTTCAGCGCCTGGCCTCTCTGCTGAGAGTGACAATCATGGGCAAAAACAGCCAGAGGAGAATTCCACTTGTGAACGGGACCTTCCTGTTGGGTTTCTGCCAACGGAGGCAACTTCTGCACTAGCTGCAACTCTTCCATTCCAGGGTAGCGGGTACTCCAGAGGCGTGGCAGACCAGAGCTCTGTTTCACTGACCGCTGGTATAAGGTCCCTTGGCGAAGCTGGCAGCAGAGAAGAATTGGGTTCAGTGAGTCCAGTTATTGTTGAATATTCTAGTGGTTTCTGGGATGTGAACATTTGGGACCCATCAAATTCATTTCACCAAAGAACCCACCAGTAAATAAGTAAATATTAGTAAATAAGTGACATCTGAGAAGCGAATAAGTTATACTAACTTCATTTAGCCTTTAAGTTCAGAACTTTCCAGCAAATCTGCCAACAAACGGCAAGCTGCTTTGCTTTTTTGTTACCTGTGTGGAAACCATTAACAACTCAATGCACTGAGCAAAGATCGAACAGGACCCTTATGGGGGAAATAACCTTTCTGATGATACAGTGTGGCACAACCTTCAAACCCGGAGAGGAGCCCTTGTTCAACCGTTTATACAGTCACTACATCCGCACGGGGTCTGTGACATTATGGAGCAAGCTACTTGCCTGCTGGTGATAAAGAACGTTTGTAAGCTTTGCATTTCTCGGGTGGCAGCTGCTGTAACTTCTTGGCTGCCAGACTCAACAGACGCACGCTTGGCTAGGTTACAGGACAGACACTTATGTCTGACTAAGAGAGATTCTCACATGCTTTAGAGTAACCATTTTAGGCCCTGATCCAGTGCCATTAAATTCAATAGGAAGAAAGTATCATTATCCCCATTTTACAGATGGAGAAACTGAGGCATGGGGTGGTTAAGTGACTAGCCCAAGGGCATACATACAGAGTCACTGTAACAGATGGGTTAGAGCTCCAGGGTTCTTTGACTCTCAGACCCGTAATCAGACCACTAGGAAACACCTCTTTCAAGTTAGGTGTTAGTATTTCTTTATGCACAACACAAATGTGCCTCTGTGCTTGTCAGAATTACGTTAGTGTCACAAGCTGTTTTCAAGAGAAATTCAGTCCCACAACAGACTGGCAGTGAACTAAACAGGAAATCCTGCTTTAAAAATAGCTAGAGACAAAATCAAAGAAGAATTAAACAGTTCAAAATTCAGTAAATTACACCATGAAAACTTTCTCAAGCCCCATGCCACAGGTATTAGGCAGGTCATTTTGGAAGGGAAAATATCACACCCAAACAACTGTTCACATGCTACATTAAAGAGTACTGTTATGTTAGGGTCTCCTGAATCCACATGTTAGCAGGTTTCTGCCTAAATGTAAACAAAGCATGAGGCTATCTAGATAGATTCAGGTATGAGGGTACTGGCTGTGCACAATAGAAGGCCTTGGGAATGATACTAAGCTAGATGGGCCCATTGGTGTCTGCATTTTAAAGAACTGAAAAGCGGTTATATTAAGTACACGTCAAGGCAAACGTATGGAAGTAGCACTGTCAGCAACAAGAACATGCATAATGAGACATTGGACAAAGGAATCTGTAGGTTCAGTGTCAGAACGGGTGAAGGGCAGGAGCAAATGCAACTCATTAGCATATTGCTTATCTGCTCAGAGGTCTTTCAGAGACATCCAGCAGGAGAGGGGACCTATTTTTAAGTTTAAATTTGATAGACTGCCTTTGTAAACATGCTTGTTTGTTATGACGTGTATAGTGCTTTACAGAATTTGTACTTGGGCTATCTAAGTGCCTGCATTGTTTTAAACTGATGTGTAATGAGATTTTATAGGCACTGTATTGGGTATGTAAAGATAAAACTGTATTTTCGTAGTTGCAATCTACACACCTCTTTTTTAATCTCATCCCATTTCATGTGTTGTCCAAGAGGCCCCACTGCCCAGAGAGGGGGAGTCCGGGATTCTGGGTTCTACTCACAGCTCGCTAATCTTAGCTAAATAGCATCACAGCTTTGTGCCTCGGTTTCCCCACATGTAAAATGCAGCTAACACCTACATGCCGGAGCAGTTAATTTATTAATATTTGTAAAGTGTTTAAAGATCCTCAGGTGAAACACTTATGAATATGGCCCTACCAAATTCACAGCATGTCAGTGTTGCTGGTTGCTGGTTGCAGGCACAATTGCACCTACACCACCATATGTGTCATAAATATAAAGGGAATTCTGTATACAGTGCTATAAAATCCCTCCTGGCCAGAGGCAAAGTCCTTTTACCTGTAAAGGGTTTAGAAGCTCAGGTAACCTGGCTGGCACCTGACCCAAAATGACCAATGAGGGGACAAGATACTTTCAAATCTGGAGTGGGGGAAAAGGCTTTTGTCGGTCTGTGTGATACCTTTGCCGGGAACAGATCAAGGATGCAAGCCCTCCAACTCCTGTAAAGTTAGTAAGTAATCTAGCTAGAAAATGTGTTAGGTTTTATTTGTTATGGCTTGTGAAATTCGCTGTGCTAGAGGAAATGTGCATTCCTGTTTTTGTGTCTTTTTGTAACTTAAGGTTTTGCCTAGAGGGATTCTCTATGTTTTGAATCTGACTGCCTGTAAGATTATCTTCCATTCTGATCTTACAGAGTTGTTCTCTTATCTTTTTTTGATCTTCTAATAAAGTCCTGTTTTTTAAGAATCTGATTGGGTTTTTTGGGGTCTTAAAAATCCAAGGCTGGTCTGTGCTCTTCTTG